ATCTTTTACATCTAGTGACCATACGATTTTTCGACTGTGCGAAGATACGCACAAAGAGTAACGAATCAGTCGAAAAATCGTATGGTCACTAGATGTAAAAGATGTAAAAACGTATGAGCGCACGTACCAGTCGGTTTTGCGTATAGCGTCGGCTGATATTTTCTTACTGTGTATGTACATGTGCGTTTTGGTCTCTTCTTTTTTTTCCTCTGGAAGTATAAAACATATTGATAAAATGATAAACATTGAATTATTAATTTAACGAAACTAGACACATGACACTCAAGTATTCAATTTTTGAACAGTCGATTTAGATCGATAGAGAACTGTGTTCAGTGACCAAGCTGAATTTTGACGTTCCTATATTTTCAGTTTTTTTTTTGTATTTTGTTCTTAATTTACGCCGTTTTTTAATTTGGGTGTGTTTTATATTTGTTTAAAAAGTGGATATTTGCAACACTTGAAATTTGTTCAAGTTTGTGATTAAAGGTCACCTTTTTTGAACGATCAAAATGGTCTCACAAATTGAAGAGCAATTTCAAATTGCCTCAAAAGTGTTTCTCGTCATTTTTTTACTAGTGGGAATATTTTTCATAAAAATATATGAAACAGATATTTTCCATCTGCTTTCGATGCTTTACGGGCGAATTATTCGAAGATTATCGGCGAAAACGAAATTTTCCAAGCGAAATTCCTCCATCGCCATCGATCTGTTCATGTAATTAACCATATTTTCAATACTTGATTTTGTTAGCCATTTAATTTCAGGACAACGTTTGCTGCAGTACATCTTGCATTGATTTCGAGTTGAGTAATGAATGATTTGTCATAATCATTCAAAATGAGTGATGTATTATCGAAATGTGATAGACACCTAATGAAATACGTCAAATGAATAGAAGCTTAAGTAAAACAATTTATCGTTACACTTGCAACGACATGCAACAAAATTCAATATCAGGAGAGAGAATAAAGAGTATTGATTTTATTAAATAAAGCAAATACATTTTTATTTTCGTTTTTCTGAGACTTTTTGAGGTTCTCTTTAATTAATTTCTTGCTTAGCTTTTAAATTATGGTATAAAACGTTATTCAAAGTGGCCAGTAAATTCATTTACTTGTAAACAAACCTGCAACCCACGACGCTTCAGACTAAACATATTGAATGTTTTGAAATTGTTAATCACTCAAAGAGTGTGTTGTGTGCACGTTAAAACAAAGTGTTTACATTTTCAAAAAGAGAAACGGCAACAAAATGGATATTCAATCAGTATCATATTCATATCAGCTGAGTTGTGAGTAGTCTATTTATTTTGATTATTTGTCCATTTATTACTAAATTACGTTTTTCCACAAAATTCATGGCTGGTATCAGTTGTGCTTGATAAACAAATATCTGAAAAAAAAATTATGCATATTGATTTATTCTAATGAAAAAAAAAAAGAAAACGAACCATGACAGTCACAATTGCCATTGCATATTGTACAGCAAAAGAGTTCTGTAGTGCAAATTATTACTATATACAATTTTGATTAATACATTATTTTTTTGAATCGTATGGTGCTATTTTCGATAGGCGACAACATACATTCCACCGCTGTTGATCATTTTGTGATAGCGTGTCTGCGAAGATCGCTCTATTCCAAAAAAAGAACATATAGAATGCGCTTTGCGTAGCAGTTAGTCATAACAACAACTACACTAAAAAAGACAGCAGAGTGAATAACAAAAAAAATTTAAACGAAGAATGTAATGTGCTGAACGCGCTTCGTATTTGGAGCAACAAGTAACGAATCCGAAAGTTAAATGAAAACACACACACAGAGAGAGAGAGAGAGATGCACATAACAGAAGTAGCTCGTTTCGTCTCAAACCTTTGTGTTTTACTCGATTCATTCTCACTTTGCGCACACATATGCAATATGTATCTCAGATTTCTGTAACCAATTCCGTTGTTTTTCAATATGTTTACAACTTCTTGCCGCGTTTTGTTTTCTTCTCTCTCTCCCGCCCAAATATTCACACTCGCTCACTCTGTTTTCGGTTCATTATTGAGCTCATTTTTATTGCTGATGTACCATTGCTGATTTACATATATGCGCTCCTGATTTTCTTTGTGTGCGACAACCACAATCATGACAAAACAACAAAAATAATAATGGCAACGAATCGAGCGAATGAAACAGCGAGGAGAAAGAGAACGCGCGTTGCACTATGAACATTAAATTGTTTTGTTTGGTGATTTTTCGTTCGTCACGACGAAACTGCGGCTAATAACCATCATCACGCGAGGCATTTTTCACGCATTTTTCACGCATTTTTATTTATATTTTGCACATTCGACATAAGATTTCGCTGCCGAAAATGAATGATCGTGTTTTTTTCGTTGCAAATATTGATGTTACAAAATGTGGTCAACATTTTAAACTGATTCGTGTGTGAATACAATAGCAGAGAATCAAAAAAAATTGTGTGTTTCATTCGGTTTGAATTTTTCATTTTTTTTTTTGCCGTGACAGATTTGCAACCAGTAACGAAAAAAGAAAAACAAATTATAAATTCCGATAGTAAAACAGAATAAAAGAGAAATCTATCAAAATACACGCATATTTTTTTTTTCAAACATCAATTCGAATTTTTCTCCATGTGATGATTTTTTTTGTTGGTTTATTTCGAGCGAAATGCGACAAAATCCAAATAAACTAAGAATTGATAAAAACTGAAAATAGGAAACCAGTGCTACTAAACAAGGTTTAAAAAAAAGAGACACAACAAATTCAATAAAACAACACACAACGTGACTTAGACAGCACAGTTTTATCAAAATATATTTAAAAAAACGTGGAGGATATTATTGTTGTTGGTGGTACTGGTGCTAATGCAAACACAATCACAATTTGTGCAAACGCATACACACATCGACAGTGACAAAATGCATACGTTTCACCATGAAGATCATTCATTGGATTCAATGACATCGCTGCATATGTATCCATTTATCATCGTTGTAATTGTGGTGTTAGCCATCCTCGCCTTTTTCTTTGCACTCATTTACAGCATCGCCAAATGTATACACAAATCACTGAGATATCGCTACCGATTCGTCTCATGTATGTACCTCGTAACAACCGACAAGATATTTTATTACAATCTCATTTCCATATTTTTTTATAAATAATAAAGTGCAATAGACATAGATAGATACAGAGTGAGAGAAAAAGAAAGATGAATGTAACTTTACATGTTATAATTGGAAAAACTTTCCATTTCTGAAATAATTATGTTGTACCGTTTTGCCAGCTATCGAATTATTTGCGAAACGAATTTGTCAAATGCAATTTGTAATTGATGGTTCTCATTTGAAAGAAATGCAAACGCACTGAATACTTATATATAATACTAATATAGTTTAATAGCAATTCGCCGCAATTCGCAGAACAATAGATGGAAAATGACAATTATTCCTGTATGTTCATCTATTTGAAATCAAATAATACACCTTTGTTGCATATCTCTTGTCAGCCATATAATAGAAAGCACTACTTGTTGTTATCTTTGGTCACATTATCTAAAAGGTTATCATTATCAAGGTTTGCGCAATTTTAGATCCTGTTTCATTTTCATCGACAAACAAAAAATATTCGTCAGTAATTTTAGCACTGTTATCCAAACTCGTTCCAAAATGGCTGTTACTGCATACGTGTTACTCTACTCTGTGGGTCTTCTTTTTTTGGTGTTTTTTTGTGCATATTTTTGCACGAAAAATATCTGCTCTCCTTCGAGAACTCTCGAAGAAACTACACCCAATGTGATAAACTTTAGTCCAACGGGTACATATATAAACATTTTGTGGCTAAAATTTTTGTGCCTCTTTTATTTTCATTGTTGTATGTGTGTGTGTGTGTGTGCTTTGGATCTATAATCCTATTTCTACCCAATAAACAATTTAATAATATTGAGGTATCACTCAGCATTCACTGTGTAAATTATTTGCGGTAATTTTGACACGTTTCATAAACACAACATGAAAACGTGATGATGTTCAACGCACTTTTCAACCAATAGAGAAACAACAAAAGAAACAAAACAAGTACACGAATGACATAGAAAATAAAAACAAGAGCTGAATAGAAAATTTGATATTTTCGAAATATTTGTTCGGTAATATCAATCGATGTGTCACATTCTAATGACGTCCATTCAACGTTGATTGGAGGGCAAGCATAAAAATGAACCAGTGATAATTATGAATAATACTTCAGTTGTAAATTCTATTATCTGCAATTTTGCCAAATTTTTCATTATTTAATATTTTCAAATCATTTTGTAGACATAGCTAAATTTAGACAAATTATAAACTAATCGAATGAAAATCAAATTAAATCAATCAATGCCTTTCATCTATTTGCAGCGCCTGTAGTAGTAACGACTACAACGATTCCTGTTCCAAGTGGTCCAGCTCCAAGTACCATGCCAGGTTTTCAATATCCACAATCACAACCCGGGTAATTATTCAATTAAACTTTATTCTTTGTCATATATATAATTTAACGTAATATTTTTCATGTAGATACCCTTATCCACAAGCTGAAATGTATCCAAATCAAGCGATACCGCAACCGTATGCAATGCCACAACCCCAAGGTATTAGCGCAAATCAATCGATTCATGTTGAACGTTTATGCTTTGTACTAAAGTAAAAAAATTAAATTTCTTTTACAACTTTCTATTTATTCTACAGTTGATTACAACCCACCGTCGTACGATCAGGTCGTACGTGGAGGTGAAGCATACCAAAAACAAGCACCATACAATCCCAACTATACCGGACAGTAATCGGTCACGGCATAAACCTAATAAGTGCATCCGCTTACCAAGATAACAAACTAAATTAAATGTAATATATTTGATTCATTAAAAATAGATACAACACAAAATTTAATGTGATTCACATAAACGTAGCAAATACACCAAATTAAAAGTTATGTTCGTGGTTATAAATCGAAAAACAACTACAACCACATTTTAAGAACCTTCGATGTATAACATACAGACTTTTTTTGTTTTCAATCTATTAAGGCATTATTAGCACGTGAAAAAAAAACTATTCGTTAGCCCTGTGAAAATCAAAATAGATATGAATTACAAAAAACTAAAATCGGATAAAAAACATTGAATTGATTTGTCAACAGTATCTGGAAATGATGAATGTGGTCACAAGAATATTATATTTTAAAAAACAACAACTAAATCATACATCATATAACTATATATGCAGATTTTGCCATTTTCCTTTCCCGTTGTTTTTACGGGAATCCTATGTATATTCATCCCAGATTGAAAAAAAAAACTTAGTGTCAGTGTCACTACATAGCTTTTTTTTGTATGTGCATTGTGCATGAAATGAAATTAATTTCATAGAGATTTTTTTTATAATTATTTATAAGTCTTTTTTTATTGGATTTGATAATCAAAAACAGAGTAAATAATGTGTCTTTCAAGGTTTTTATTTTCATGACTATGCAGACAATAGAACAAAAAATTGAATGAAAAAAAAAACAAATATTTTAAATAAAGAATTTATTGAATAATTTCAAGAAAGAAAAAAATGACATGTATAACTAACTTCTGTGGTAAATGTGAACAATTTAAAGCTAAGTAATAAATGTAGTAATACAAATGAAATAAAAAAAACTTCCAAAGTTATCGAAATCAATTGTGATTTTTTATATGTGTCGAAAAAATGGTTATTTTGTCTGCACGAATCTTCATAAAAAATTGCCAACGAGCGATGCATAGTTCAGCGCAAAAAATGACTATTGATAAAATGATGCCAAAAATGTAGACAAAAATGAGTGGATATATTTTACGAAAATTAACAGTGGTGAAATCACGTCCGTCTCCATCACACATTGGTTTCCTCGGTAGCCATTTCGCTTTTATTCGAAATATCAATCCAATCTCACGCATCCAGAGTAGTCTTGAGTGTTTGAATTCGAAATGGCACACATATACATATCTAAATCAATTGCTCAATTCTGTTTATGTAATCAAAATACGTTATACGCATACCTTTGTTTAATCAGCTCTTTGTAGCCACTGTTTCGGGCAACGGTGATTGTATTCATCGAATATGGAAACACTTTTATTTCGCTCAACCTGCATTTTTCTGATTCCGTGTACATTTTTGCAATGGCATTATACGCACTCGGTGAATCGATAAGAAATGCAAATAAATCGGTTCGAACTCTAGCCATACCAATGCGTTCATCACTAATCCAAGCATCTGTGCCAATTGGATAGATTTTCTCATCGTATACACGTTTCAAGTAGCTATGACTTTCATTCAAAAATATCTCTCTTATATTGGGGGCATTTTTCAAAGCAAGTGTTAATGGTGAAGCTAATAATTCGTCCACGTTGTGAATCGAATCAATTGGACTCTGCAGCATTGAAAAGATGCCACCCGAATATGATGCAAAAGCCGAATATGTTGCTAAAAATGTTGTTATCAACACAAATCTACCGGATAACGATGGTATAAATAAATGAGTCCCTTGCTGGCATACAGCACCGAAAACAAATGAAACAACATCAAACAACGTGATCTGAGCCCTAAGCAACGGATGCCCCATTTGATGAACATTTTGAATTCCCATAATGAATATAACACAGAGAATCAACGCTGCATAACAATACCAAACCTAAAAACATATAACATTGAAAGTGGCGTAGTTTTTCTTCACATGAAAAAATAACAAACCATCTTATCCAGCGGCATTAAGAAAATGTTCAATAGCTGAGGCTGTCGAAAGATAATTGGGGTACTTGCAGTATCCCGGAGCAGAGAGGAAAGGAAAAGAAGAAGAAAAAGAAACATACAATAACATTGCATGAAATGGTATGGCACGACATACACACACACACCAACACAAATAATAAACAAAGAAATTAAAGAGTTTTTCACTCGCACATTTTTTGTTACCTTATGGCAAAAATATCAACAGTGAATTCCGCATATTGCAGCAAATCTGCGCGCATATTTACAGCATGAAAAAACATTTCGATTTTATTTTCTCGATACAGCGCAATTGTAGCAGCCATTGCGTTTTGCTTCCATTCATGATTGTTCACTTCAACTATGTCGCAACTGTGTGTATGTTTGTGTGTGACCAATGAGAGCAATATAGAACAAAAAAAAACAATTAAAACACGAGAAAATAAAGACAACACAACCTAAGAAAACGATTAATGAAAATGAAGTCAAGAAGTAAAAAAAAAGTTTGTTATTTTACAAAAAATTTAAATCCTCTTGCAATTGTGAGAAAACTGGCAGAGTTGATTTTGCCGCAATGTCCGTTTGATCCAAGTTTGTGTCATCGTCGAGGTATGTGAGTGGCACTGGATCTCGTACCTACCGTACAATCTATTTAATTGATACAACATTGATAATATTCGAAATGTTGTTAAACTTACACGTGAACCACAACGAAAATGGATCCCTTGCAAATTCTTTCGAGCGCCAACCGTATGAAATTCTTCATTTAATCGCAAAGCATAGTGAGCCGTAAAATTTTGCACATTTGTTTGGTCGTTTATCCAACCAAGCACGGACACTACTAACAGCTTATTGGGAGCAACTTTATAAACATCATAAAGGGTCCATTTATTCTCTTGAGTATTAAATTGAGCCAGCACCACTTCACTATTTGGCAACACATCCAACTCACTCAGAATTTCGCTGCCCATACTTTTGTTCTGGTTTTATACAAAACACCAGAAAATTGAAGCAGAATGGAGAATTAAAAACAACAACGCAAACTATAACAATTTAAACTGATTCGTTGAACTTTGTGTGTTATATCAATAAAGTTTTACCAAGTTTTCGTCTAAGTTTGAGTACAATTCATCAGTGGAGCGGAGAAAGAGCCATAAATTGTTGCCATTAAATAAAATTGGATGTTGTTTCTATAAAACAATTTATCATTTTTGTTTATTCATTCATTTGAAAGGCATCATCGGATAGAATGCATGAGAGAGAAAAGGTATGGATATACTTGATTGAAAATTGATTCAAATCCATTGCAAGTTGTATCGATAACAAAACCTTGTTTCATATTCTCTTTTAAAATGACAAAATCATTTGCCCCATCGAAGTTTGTAATAAATCTCGATTGAGTTGATAGTGCTAATGATATACGAACATTTTCGTCTGAAATTTAATAACACAAAAAAAAACAATTAAGTTTTTCATTGATTAAATAAATAGACAATTGCTTACCACTTCGATAACAAATAAAATGCGACCAAATGCCAACCGAACGATGTGCCGAATAAATTTCCAGCAAATGCAAATAATTATCCAACGGTATAGCGAATCCATATCCTTGATACAGACAGGATATTAGAAACAAGAACTGCCGATAAGACATTTTGTCTTTGTAAATGCTCTTTTGCTATTGCCACTTGTCTTGCGCCTCTTGCAGTATTATATTCATGCATAACCAACGGCAAAACAATGATAATTCAAGAGTGGGATTTTCCTTTTGAAATACATCGCCACTCACAATTTTCCAATTAAGTTTAAGATTTCAAATTAACCTTTCAAAACGTCAACATTATCATGTTTGTATGTTTGACTTTGTTAATAGAGTTGGCTGCGAACATCTACGAACACTCGTTCGTTCGTTCGTAGTTTAAAAATTAAATTGTGTTCGTTCGTTTGTTCGTAGAAATCGGGAAAAAAATTCGTTCGTTCGTTCGTTCGTTCGTTCGTTCGTAGGAATTGAAAAATAAAAATTTTGTTCGCTCGTTCGTTTGTTCGTTCAAATTATAGATAGAAGTGTTCGAGAATTGAGAAAAAAATTGTATTTTTTTTTTTTACTTTTAGTGTTTTATACCGAGTCTCCGAGAGTTTTTTTGGTAAGTCGTATATATCATGTGTTGTGAACAGAACGTAAAAATTTGTCATCTCTGTCACCCAAATCGTGCTTGGCAAATCTTTTTTTTCATGCTGTCGCACTCACCCTTGCATTCAAACTTGTTTACATGACATTCTATAAATACACAACTCAACTTGTATTTTCTGTGCAAAATTGCAAATGGCGAGTATTAACTTCGGTATCATAATACATGATACTCATTGTAATACTGTGCCGTATTATGATCGATCTTAATAAATAATACTCATGTTGAAACGAGTATTATGATTGGTCTTAATAGTGAATAGCATCGAAATAAAATATCATCATAATACAATTGTATTAACATCTCGGGTTTGGCACATCTATATTTCAAATATTAAGAAAATTATGAAAATATTAAGGAAATTTGAAATAAAAAATTGCTACGAACGAACGAACGAACGAAATTTTTATTTTTCAAAATCAACGAACGAACGAACGAACACATTTTTTTCCCGATTTCTACGAACGAACGAACCAAAATGTTATTTCTATTGCCTACGAACGAACGAACGAACGTAGCCAACATTATTTGTTAATTACTATGTCAGCTCATTTTGCAGAAACTGGCAGAAACTTTCAAATTACGTAGGTTGCTCCATAATTTTTTTTAAAATGGTACTTATAGTGTTGCCCGATGTAAACCATTGTCATATTCGTAAAGTTTGATGTTTTGGTATGTATTCGTGCCCTGAACCTTTTGTCGTACGAACGCTATTTGTATTGTTTACAGTGACTGGTAAACTGCGACTCAACAAAAAAATGAATTTTACACGTGAAGATTTTCGTAAAATGATTTACTACGATTTTCGAAGTAAATTATCTCAACAACAGTGTTTCGATCGACTTCATTTGGCCTTTGGCAATGAAGCACCAACCCTTCAGACAATTTATAACTGGTACCGAGAATTCCGTTGCGGTCGTAGTTCGCTCAAAGACGAGTTTCATACAGGTCGTCCAAAATCGGCTGTTGTGCCACAAAACATCGATGCTGTCAGAAAACTGATTATGGAAGATCGTCA